AAAAAGATATGAAAGTTGGCAAAAATGAGCAACTTGATCAGTTGTTAAAAGTCGTATGATCAATCATTTATTGTCTCATTGCCCCTGCAAATCATAATCACTTGTTTTAATGTAGGAAGGTAAGCATGTCATAAAAAATTGGGTCAGTTAAAGAGTTACATACATGTTTCTTGGCGTCTTTCTAGGTGATTCTTCTGGGAATAGGTCATGAGGAATTTGTGCTTGCAATGGTGATGGAGAAACCGGAAGATGTTGATATCTCTTTGGTGAAGCTTGGGATGAGTCTGGTTTCTGGTATGTTTCCTTTGACATTGCAATCTGATCCAAGGTAGGTTATGCCTTGTTTTTTTTTTTCAATAAAGAAATTTGAATGCATGGACACCATTGTCTAGAAAAACAGAAACAAATTAAGAACATTATGAATACATCTGATCAACCAACCAATGTGCACTTTGGCTGCCGGTTTATCTTTTTGTTTCAAGGTTTATGTTTTCTGAGTTTGATATAGGTTTATGTTGACTTTGCTAAATCCGTGAAAACTTTAAACTTGGGTGAGTGAGTTGTTTCTTCCTCTTGTTCTAAAGGAGGATCAAAATCAACATCAGAATCTGTATCAACATAGCTGTGTTTGGCTTGATTTCAACTATGTTGATGTGCAACTTCTGTCATGACTGATCATTATGGTCTAAATCATTGTCAATCAAGAGAGTTTCTGTAATATTTTTTTTAAGCACAACTTTAGGATTCAAAATATCTCTAAACACAACACAATCCTTTCTTCTGTTCGGACAGGTTACGAATATCGAATTGCAAAGTCATGAGGAAAATAGGCTCGAGCTTTGCCAGATATGATGATCTTTTTGGTTATCTGTTGGGCATAGAGTTATATATATAAGTTTGCTTTGTTTCAAAGGATCATCAATCCTAACACCTTCTCCATGTTCTAAACAAAATTTGGGTTCAGAAATCAGAAATGAATAAAACTGTTAGATACAAGCTTGAACAAGTACCAAATGATTGTTCGGAGAAAAACATGTGAGCTAACCTTCACAATTGTTACCAAATATCCCCACAGGTACAACTACCACTACAGAACTTATGGTACCTGTTAAAATCCCTTACAATGATCACCTTCTTTATTGCTATGCTTATGTACTTAAAAGCTTCGTGACAGTCCTTGCAGGTTCGGAGATTCTTTACGATCCTTATCGGCTTCCCTGCTGGTGCAGCTCCGCTCACTATCCCATATGCTAAAGCCAACTTCTCACTATGATACCAAAGTGCTTCTTTTTTCTCCCTTTCTCCTGCTTCATGCAACATCTCATCCCACACCGGCTTGTATCCTAGTTTTTCAACCTCTTCCATTAACTCAGCCAACTTTGTGTAGATTTCTTCAGTTTCTGGTTCTTCCTATCCCCTGCCATAAACACGTGCACTTCTCCCTTGACTTCAATCCAACTCTTCCCGCTTTCCTTTTTCACTCTCCAATATTTAATTGACTTTCTCATGTCAGAAACCTCGGCCCATCTCCCTGCAGCTGATAAGACATTTGCAGCTATCGAATAAGCCGAAGTATCATGAGGATCCAATTCTAGCAACCTTCTAGCCATCCTCAAAGCCATATCTGCTTCACCATGATGAGAACAACTTGACAACAATGATCTCCACACTGCAGCATCAGGGTTAAATGGCATTGTTGTTGCTATCCTCTCAGCATCTTCCAATCGCCCGGCTCTGCCCAATGCACCAATCAAACATGTATAATGCTCAAGCCACGGCTCGATACCATACTCCATTTTCATCCTCTTCAACCACATCTCTGCTTCACCAACCAAGCCAGCATTGTAAAATGCCGAAAGCGCAGCTAAAAAGCTATACTCATCCGGCACGAACCCTTTGTCCTCCATCATTTGAAACAACTCGATTACCGAATTCGCATCGCCTTGCTGTGCATAACTGGCCATCAAAGCATTCCACCCTACACTATTCATCACATCAACATTTTCGTTAAACACTTCCGTGCATCTAAAACAAGCCCCGATTTTCCATACCCATCAACCAAAGCACTCCCCACAATCACATTCTTATCGAACCCGGTAACAACCGCATGTCCATGAAGCATCCTGCATTGCTCTAAAGCAGCCAAATTCGCCACCGCTCGTAATGCCCCGGAAATGCTATATACGGTAGAACTAACATTGCAAGACCTCATAACAGAAAGAAAAGATAAAGACTCGATCGACTTAGAATTCTGCGCCAACCCAACAATAACAGCGGAATAGCAAAATTCACCTCGCTCAGGCATTTCATCGAACACCTTCATGGCATCCATCGGTAGTCGATATTTGCAGTAAAAATTAATCAAAGAAGAACCGGAGAAAGGTTGGGTATTGAGAAAAAGCTTAAAGGAAAGAGCGTGCAACGAAAGGCCGAAGAAAAGACAACAAGGAAGAGAAACGCAGGCTTTGAAAAGAGAAGCTATGGTTCGTTGGTTCGGGAGAATGGGGTGGCGGAGCATTGAGAGGAATAAGTGAGGGAAAGTGGGGAACTGAAGTGAGCTGAAATGATAGAAGTCCATGAGACGATGTCGGGCGATGGGATTTGATTGAAGAGACAAAGCGAGGAATCGAGGAGGTTGGATTTGGAGTAGAGAGTGATTAAACTGTTGAGAATGGAACGACCGAAGCGTGGGGATTTCAGAGCACGGGCATGGAGGATTCGTGGGTCGGCGATGGATTGTTGTTGCAGTGCTCGAGCTGCACTTGTCTGGTCTCCGAGTAAGGTCATGATGGTGCCATCGGGCTTAGAGAGTAATAAAGGTTTTAGTAAAGATAGATCAACAAAACATTTTTAAATTTTTGAAGGGTAAATTATACGGGTAATAACTTATATTCCCAGTCGGTCTAATTTTGACCATTGATTTAAAAAAGAGCGTTAATAATCTTTTAGTTTATGATTTCGTTTAATTTTAATCTCTCGATCTTTAACTCTTATTAACTCATTAATAAAATTTTAAATTGATAATTAAAGAAAAGAAGAAGAAGAAGAAAAAAGTCACTTCTGATAATGGCCTATGCAAAAAAGACTGTATGAGCAAACGAGTTCACACCCCAAGCCAATGTCGCATTTGATACCAACACATGTCAATGGTATTTATTTGTTTCTTTCATGAATCCGCTCTGTCTTCTCCATAAATACCTTATCCTCCTTTATTAGAAGCTGTTTAGGACTATCCAATCATTTGTAACAGACAGTCTCAACTCTTCAAACAATTACAACAAATCCCTCCCATTTTCAAAAAATAAAATAAAATCCTCGCACCTTTCGCAGCATAAGTAATTTCAAATGCTCATAGGAATGGGCATAACTATCGTGGGTTATAGATGAGAAATTAAATGGATTTCAGTTTAATTAATTAAATTTATGAGTTAATTAACTCACTTTATTAAATAAATGTAAGTTTAATTAACATTGAAGTTTAAGTTATTATATACGTGAGTACTCTAAATACCTATTGTAATGCACAATACGAATGTGAAAAACAAAAGAAAAACCCCTTTAATAAATGTTATATAATAACCTTTTCCTCTTTTTATTATGAATAAATCCATATTTTTTATTTTCCAACATAATTAAAAGCGCATTTGATCCCCTGTAGTGAGGTCTATGACATGCAATATCCCTTGTACCATGAATTTCTTTTACGCACTAGAGTAAATTACTGTAAAAACTCAGCATGGTCGTGCAATCTTTGCCGGTGAAAGCCCATTTGATACTTTCCAATATAATGGCAAGACCTGACCAGGTTTTTAATGTATCATCTTCGTTATGAACATTCATTAAAATCACTGAGGGAGAGACAACGGGTAATTGATTCATTCATCCAAAATTGAACACATTTCCTCAAACATATTGAACCAGGCTATATGAATTCATTGTCGATCGGCATTTTGATGTTTTCAAACAGATGATATCTCCATTATAATCAGAGGGAGAGACAACGGGGCGCACAATGCTTCTCGAGTTATTAGAGAAAATAGTGAATAAAGAACTTTTTGCCCCTTCTTTTTATTTCTGCACTCTTCTCTTTCTGTCCTTTTGAAAGCATCATATCTCATTATCTTGTTAATTGGCATGCTTTCACTATAAACCTTGTTCCTTCAATCATTTTCTCTCAAATCTCAAGTTGTTGTTGTGAAAAAAAAAGTAGAAGCATTAAGCACTTGACATGGAAAGCCTTGTAAATGTAGCCAAATGAGGCTCTGGTTGTTGCATTAGGCTCATATTTGCCACAAGAAGCACATCAGAAATGAAGATAAACCCTACATCTCCACAGCATGAGTGATGGAAATCGTACATAAGTTCATCTTCACTCCTCGATTAATGGGTTAATGTGACGGGGGGAAGCCTCGTCTAGGATTAAATTTTTTAAATTTATTGGTTAATGGGTTAATGTAAAGGATTAAAATCATTCTTCTTCTTCTTTTGAATTAGTGGAGGAGAAGAAGAGAGAGTATGTGATTTTTTTAAAGTTATCAACATAGACTTCAATTTAAAAGTTGATGTAAAGAACTGAAATTATTCTTTTTATGAATCGATGATCAAAATTAATCAGGCCGAAAACATAAAAAGCGATAGGTATAATTTGCCCGACAGTATAAGTTGTAATTGATCTAAAATTATTCATATGGCATAAAATATAAGAAACAATAGTAGACCTAAGTTCTAGGAACGATTTGGTAAGAAAGTTAAAATTGAAAGGAAAAAAGAAGAAGATAATTAGAGGTTTTTGAAATTTGGATTAACGAAGAAACTAATTAACTTATAAAGTAGTTAATTAATTATTTGTAATAAGGAATATAAAGTAAATATATTTAACAAATTCTGAAGATAAAATAAGGGAAACAGAGAGGGGATGTGTTATTGCTACGAATGGCTAATGAATAATGAGAGTGATTGTTGTTTGGTAGTGGGAAGAAACAGAGCAGGCAAAGACCCATGATTCTGATCTGCCAAAAATTGGAAATAAAAAAGTTAGCAAATAGCCAAGATTGGTGCCAAGCCATCCGTCTCTCATCCGATTTCCTCGCATTTCGTGCACTTTCTAACCAAACTGAACTTTCACCATCGCTCTGCTTTGATCCGATCTCTTCTTCTCTGAGGTTCTTACATCACTTTTTTCTTCTTTATTTTGCTCTGCCATTTCACTATGATTTCGTTTTCAGTGCATTGATTCGTGCTTTGCGCTTTTCCCGATACGATAAATCCCTCCTTTTATTTCTCTTTGATTGCGAACTAGGGTTTTGAGTGCTCTATATTGATAATTAAATGCTACAAGTGTTATCATAGACATATTCATCATTTGGAGTTTTCAGGGGTTTTTCCTTCTCTTCTTAACATGTGTTTTGTCGGTGTGTGTTTCTAGTTTTGTCATTATATGGAGTAGAGGAGGTCCGTGGAGCTGAGTTGAGTTGTTTCTAGCAGAGATCTGTCATTGTTTCAATTAATTTCCCTTTTTCCAGCAGGACACGGTTTGAATCTGCTGTCTTTGATTGGATTGGCAATTTGCATTGGGCTCGTTGCTCTCTTTGTCTTCTCTTCATTTCTTCTTCTTCTTTAGATGAATTCTGTTTATGCCCAAATTGAATACGAAACAAGATTGTAGTTAGCAACGCGAGATATGATTTTGTTACAAATTAACCCGAACAACAATTTCTTTGGTGACGGGAATCTAAGAACAAGACAGAGGTAGTTGCCTTTCTTAATAGTACTGATAGCATTCTTCTGGGGATGGTGTCATTGAAGAATTTATATTATTTATGATTTCAGGGCACCCTTTACTGCCTTCACCTGATTGTTCCTGTATGGTGGAGCATCGCCTAGGTACTTCTGCTCACTGTTTGCCTTCCTTTTGTTGCCTTGGTTGCAATGTGTCTTTCTCTTCTTCCTCATGAGTCTCGGGACTATTTTCTTTATTTAGAAAACCAACAGGAAGAGCATCGTGAAGAAACTGCTACCTTTGAGACGTCTTGCCTCTCTTGCGCGCCCCCTTGCTGTTGTTGCCTCAAAATAGTTGTAGTCTGCTGACTGTCATTCCTGTCAGCGGTTCTCATTGGAATGCCCTGACAAGGATCGTGGGGTTCCATGGAGCTGCAAAACATCAGTAACACTTGTACAAGCATTGATATTTCCAGGAGTTCATCTCTGGCACAAGAAAATTTGAGTAAGCCTCAGAGGATCCGCAACAAAAGTGTGGATTTAGGTGATAATCTCCTGTATTCGGAAGATCCAAGGGTGATCTACATTAATGATCCTAGGAGAACTAATGACAAATATGAGTTCACTGGGAATGAAATTCGGACTAGCAAGTATACACTTGTAACCTTCTTGCCCAAGAATCTTTTCATTCAGTTTCATCGAGTGGCTTATTTGTATTTCCTGGCTATTGCTGCTCTCAATCAACTTCCACCTCTAGCAGTCTTTGGGAGAACTGTCTCTCTTTTCCCACTCCTGTTTGTGCTTTGTGTCACGGCAATTAAAGATGGTTATGAGGATTGGCGGAGACACAGGTCAGACCGGAATGAAAACAATCGAGAGGCATTAGTTCTACAGGCAGGGGAATTTCAAATGAAGAAATGGAAAAGGATAAGAGCTGGAGATGTTGTCAAGATCCATGCTGATGAGACAATTCCTTGCGACATGGTTTTGTTCGGGACAAGTGACCCCAGTGGACTTGCCTACATCCAGACCATGAATTTGGATGGCGAATCAAATCTGAAGACAAGATATGCTAGGCTGGAAACAGCTTCTTCAATATTTGAAGGTTGTAATGTATCAGGGTTGATCAGATGTGAGCAGCCTAATAGGAATATTTATGAGTTCACAGCCAATATGGAGTTCAATGGACATAGATTTCCCCTCAGCCAATCAAACATTGTTTTGCGGGGTTGTCAGCTGAAAAACACTGATTGGATAATAGGTGTGGTGGTTTATGCTGGGCAGGAAACAAAAGCAATGCTAAATAGTGCAATTTCCCCTTCAAAGCGAAGCAAATTGGAAAGCTACATGAACAGGGAAACACTCTGGTTGTCCGTTTTCCTTCTTGTCATGTGTTCTGTTGTTGCTGTTGGTATGGGACTTTGGCTCCATCGTCACAAGGACGAACTTGATACCTTACCTTATTACAGAAAAACATATCTAAGAAACGGAAAGGAGAATGGTAAAACATACAGATATTATGGGATCCCTATGGAAACGTTTTTCTCTTTTTTAAGTTCCATTATTGTCTTTCAGATAATGATACCAATCTCTCTTTATATTACTATGGAGTTGGTTCGCTTGGGACAGTCTTATTTCATGATTGAAGATAAGCACATGTATTGCAGCAACTCTGGCTCAAGGTTTCAATGTCGATCCCTGAACATAAACGAGGACTTGGGTCAAATACGATATGTGTTTTCTGACAAAACAGGGACACTTACTGAGAATAAAATGGAATTTCGAAAAGCAAGTGTCTATGGGAAAGATTACAGAAGCTCCAATCTTAGAGATGACGTACTACAGGATGATGACATCAGAGGTATAACATTATAATCCCAATGCCATTTGATGTCCTTACTGCATATTACAATTTATAATTTAGTGTTGGTCAGGATGTTTTAGCTCTCTTTATGTTTTCCTTTTCATTTTTTGTTTTTGTAATCGTTGCAATTCAGTTCTTTATTATCCATATACGTGCAGACTGAATCTGCTATTTTTTTATTAGTTTATAATTTATTTAGTTCTGCATGCTGGTTATTGACTTGATAACTTGAGTGGACTTATCTACAAAATCTTTTCACAACTTTCCGCTGAACTCTTAATCTCTTCATCCTTCTGGTGGCAAATCAGTTCGTACCTGTTCTAAAATGCTTGGTTAGGTTGTTAGAAAGGTATGGCTATGCCTTTGATTGGATTGACCTGCTTTTGTATGCTATTGCACCAGTCTCCTATTCATGAATAATGAAGCTCGATATTTATGAAATATTCCATTTTAATTTGATTATCCTCTGATACTTCATGTAATGTTGTTAAGTAGTTCTAATTTCAGTTTTTAATATGTTCCTTGAAGTTGCAGCTGTTTCAAGCAGATGGAAGCTAAAGTCTGAAATATCTGTTGATTCTGAACTAATGGATTTGTTGCATAAAGACATGGCTGGAGATGAAAGAATTGCTGCACATCTGTTCTTCCTCACTCTGGCTGCATGTAATACTGTGATCCCAATTGTTTCTAAGGATGCTTCTTCTGGTCATGTAAGAAGTGATTCATGGGGAGAGGTGAAAGCTATTGATTATCAGGGTGAATCTCCTGATGAGCAAGCACTAGTTTCTGCAGCCTCTGCTTATGGGTATACTCTCCATGAACGAACATCAGGTCATATTGTGATCTATGTCAATGGTGATAAACTAAGGTATATGATTTGTATGGTTTGTTCTTCTGTCTCCATGCTGCCTATTTGATCATTTTCTAGTGATCCTGCCCTAGTAATTTTCCCAAGGCCAAGTGTCTAGCATTACACATTTAGTTTTCTCTATGCAATTTGTTGTGTTAAAAGAGAACTTTCATGTTTCAGGTTGGATGTTTTGGGGTTGCATGAGTTTGATAGTGTACGCAAGAGAATGTCAGTTGTTACAAGATTTCCAGACAACACGACCAAGGTGTTAGTGAAAGGTGCTGATACCGCAATGTTCAGCATTTTAGCAAGAGAAACTGAGAAGGATGATCAGATTAGACAAGTAACTCATAGTCATTTGACTGATTACTCGTCAGAAGGTCTCCGCACTCTTGTAGTTGCTGCAAAGGATCTTACAGATGCGGAACTTGAGCAGTGGCAATGCCAATATGAAGATGCAAGCACTTCTTTAATTGACAGAGCAGCAAAACTACGTCAAACAGCAGCCTTAGTAGAATGCAACTTAAACTTACTTGGTGCTACTGCAATTGAGGATAAGCTACAAGATGGTGTACCAGAAGCCATTGAGGCTCTTCGGCAAGCAGGAATAAAAGTTTGGGTTCTGACTGGAGATAAACAGGAAACAGCAATTTCTATTGGACTCTCATGTAAACTTCTGACTGCAGATATGCTGCAAATAATCATAAATGGCAATTCAGAGGAAGAATGCAGAAATCTTTTGACTGATGCAAAGACCAGACATGGAGTGCAACCAGCAAGTAGAAAAAATGAAAACTCAAAAAGAAGCAATAATCCAGAAAATGGTTATCTTGAGATACCGGATGAAGCAAAATCTTCCAATGTGCTACAGCCACGATCTGGAAAGGAAGAACCAGATGTTTGTGCACCCTTGGCACTTATAATCGATGGAAACAGCTTGGTCTATATTTTGGAGAAGGATTTAGAATCAGATGTAAGACTAATTTTTATTGGCAAGATTGATTAGATGCTTATAGCATCTGTAGCCTGTTGTTTCAAGATGGTTCAATCTATGAACCAATTTTTGGACTTGCTTTTATATTTGTATTTATTCTCATTGTTTCTTCATTCCTGAATATTTCTATTTGCTTTTCACAACTTTCAACAGCTTTTCGACATTGCAACTTCCTGTAAGGTAGTACTCTGTTGTCGTGTTGCGCCATTGCAAAAAGCTGGGATTGTGGATCTAATCAAAAGCCACACTGATGACATGACGCTAGCTATCGGTGACGGTGAGTCTTTTTGATTATTTGCTGTGTTTAGATTTTTCTCTAGTGGCTTCGTTAGTTTCTATAGTTTACATGTTTCAAGCTAGCACTGATATTTCTCTGATATACATTTTGACAGGGGCTAATGATGTTTCAATGATCCAGATGGCGGATGTTGGTGTTGGAATATGTGGTCAAGAAGGACGGCAGGCTGTGATGGCATCAGATTTTGCTATTGGCCAGTTTCGGTTTCTGAAAAGATTACTCTTGGTGCATGGTCATTGGAATTATCAGCGCGTTGGTTACTTAGTTCTTTACAACTTCTATCGCAATGCTGTTTTTGTGTTGATGCTATTCTGGTATGTACCATTTTTGGTTGTGAATCTGGGCTTTTTGAATTTCCTGCGTGCATTGCTCAAAAAAAGGGGAAATTTTCTAGGTAATTTCCCTATAGGTCACTGTTCAAAAAAATTGTCACTTAGGTTTGCAATTTTTCATTTCTACTATTATATTAGCAAACTTAATGTTGAATTCAATGCGGTATATTAGGAAATGTTAAGCTGTTGAATTCAAGTTGTGGGTCTTTTCATGGGAAATTTGAAATCAATGCGGTATATTAGGAAATGTTAAACTGTTTACTCTTTTTTCTGCAACTTTTGTAGTTAATGGATGTGGATTTCACGATACATTCTTTTGTATGTTGTAGGTACATATTATGCACAGCCTTTTCAACGACTTCTGCATTAACAGATTGGAGTAGTGTGTTTTACTCTGTTATTTATACATCTGTCCCTACTATTGTTGTTGGCATTCTTGACAAGGACTTAAGTGATAAGACACTCCTAAAGTATCCTAAACTTTATGGTGTGGGGCATAGACATGTGGCATATAATCTGCAACTCTTTTGGATAACAATGATTGACACACTATGGCAGAGCCTTGTTCTATTCTATATACCACTTTTCACATATAAGGAGAGCTCAATTGATATATGGAGCATGGGCAGTTTGTGGACTATAGCAGTTGTTATTCTTGTTAATATACACCTGGCGATGGACATTCAGCGTTGGGTATTCATTACTCACGCAGCAGTGTGGGGATCAATAATTATCACATATGTTTGTATGGTTGTATTGGATTCAATACCTATCTTCCCAAATTACTGGTTAGTGTCACCTCATAATATAATTTCCTGATCTTTAGTTCCAAAGTTTTGGCGGATTGATTTTATGTTTTTCTTGCATTTGGCAGGACAATCTACCATGTGGCAAAGTCACCCACCTATTGGCTCACCATTTTGCTTATAATAATTGCGGCTTTACTTCCTCGCTTTCTTTTCAAAGCTATACATCAGAATTTTTGGCCTTCAGATATCCAAATAGCCAGAGAAGTAGAGATTCTAAGAAAAGTGACCTAATTTGAGGGACAGATGAAGATTCTAGTTAACATGTACATTACACCCTGTTTTGAAATGGTTACTTCTATCCATCATATGGCTGTCCTGTGGCATGCAATTGTAATTTATGGTAAGCACATACTCCAATCCTCTTGTGTTACGAATTTCATACACGTGTTGCTAATGAAATTAGTCATCATTAATAGTTATTTTTTTATGCTTCCTCTGTGAATGCTTCCCTACAATTCACAACTTTAACAATGTGATGATACCCTTACTCATATGTTAAGATCTTGAAGAATTTCCATTGGGCTCAACATCTGTATTATTTTTGTTTCTCGATTATGACTTAAAAGGTAGTCGAGGGTCACATGCCTCCGCAGTCCAAATCAGAACCGAGAGATAGAAACCCTTCAAACATACTATCGGGCTTTATTACCCTCCAAGACAAAAGGACAATACAAGTTTGAAATAGCAAATCTCCTCTGCTCTACCCCTACTTCATTTCGCAACGCTTTTCTTTTTTTAGTCAATGGAGTGGATATACAATTTGTTATTTTACGCTAAATTCGTATAATATTTGAATTCCATTATTCTAATAACTATTCGGGACATACATTAGTATTAAATTTTGGATATTTATCAATGAGATCTATTTTATCTGGATATGTAACATCTTTCAATTCATTCATTTTCACTTTTTACAATAATATTTTTTTAACTTTGGAAATATGGTTATTTAAAATATTTAAAAAATCAAATCTGTATTCAAAAAGTAATAATCCAATTTAATACCAATAATAAGCCAATATAATTTTTTTTTTAAAGATCTAAGAAGCTTTTGCATATCCATAATGTTTAACCTAAATGAAACATCATATTTCCATTGAAGCAAGGTCTCGTCAGCATTTCAAATATTAATAAAATACAAGTGTTATATGGGAACAGTTTCCTCTCATTATAAAATTTCGACAGTTTAGCGTAAAATAAAATTCAGGCTGTGATGAATAAAAAATATATCCAAGTTGTAATATTATAATGGTGACGACTTCATAATGACATATCTTCATTACATCACTAAAACGTCGTATGAACCCTCTCTCTGCATCCTAACCTGTCTCCCCACGCGCTTCGACTTATTCTACAATCCGTTGTATCTATCCTACTTCAAATTTGAATAATAAATTATCTTAAAATACTTTTTATATTACAATTTTTAAAACTATAAAATAAATATTAATTTTAAAATATATTAAAATATATATATCACATTTTTTTTCATTAATTGGTATAATTAACTTCATTTTTATTTTATGATGTGTTGGATAATTATCAAATACGTTTACTTTGTGATTGTATTTAGTAATTTTCGCAATAGGTTATCGTACTGCTTAACTTAAACGATACAATTGACTATTATAACAGTTATTGAATTTTGTTAATCGTAATTTGACGGTTTAGAAATAATTAATAATTAACTATTTTTAACGATTCAGTTTAAGTTAACCTATAACCTATTACAACTTTTTTCACACATTCATTACTTCTTTTGAGCATAATAAAAGTGTCGCTCTAATAAATATTATATTAAAATTTTCATGAATAAATACTTAAATAGAGAGATTTTAAATACAAACTCTATACTTAGTTTAAAAAAATACATATTGATATTATATAGTAATTAGTACATCTACATACTACATATTATTGTATTAATTTAAAATTTTAACACACCACAAAATACATCATCATTAATCATACTACAAAGCTAAGCACAGAGTAGTTCAATACACCATCAAAATTTTAAAGATAAATCTTTAATAAATATAAAACAATCATGATACTTATATTTTATCTTATAAAATATATATGTAATTTAATAACAATTAACTATTTATTAAAATTTGTAACCGTAATCGTTAATCGTCATTTTTAATAGTTCAGGTAATCAAAATTGATTAATTTAAACAATTTAATTAATTTATTTATAAATATAACAATTATATCAATTAAAAGTTATAATTAATAATTACAAATTAATCTATACACCTCTAAATGTACTTGTATTTGAAAAACGTTAACAAACTTAATGTTAGTTACATTATTCCCTCGCCTTCATCCATCAGTGATAGATAAGAACAAAATATTCAACATTGACCTATTAATAAAGAGAATAATATAACTATTTTGTGATATTTAATTTGATAAAAAAATATAATAAAATCATAGAATTTGAAATAATTAAATTTATAAAATTAAATAACTAAAGAGACCAAATATATAATTTTAGGGTAAAATACACAAATGATCCTCTAATTATAGGATATTGCTTTGTTGAATCCCCGGACTATTGAAAGTTACAAAATGGTCCCCTGACTATTAGGAGTTGATTTGTTGAGTCCTTTGACTATTAAAAGTTACAAAATGGTTATCCGACAATTCATTATGTTCCAAACTCATCATTTTCTGTTGAAAAATTAACTATCGTACAAGTTGGACGTTAACATATTGATTGAAATATGATAGTCGTTTGAGATTATGAGAGCATATTTTATCATATCTAAATTAGCATGTTAATGTCCATCTCAAATTATCGTTAATTTTTTAATGGAAAATGATGAGTTTAGAACATAATGAATAGTCAAGTGATCATTTTGTAATTTTTAATAGTTGAGGAATTAAAAAATCAACTCTTTATAATCAATAAGTCATTTTATAACTTTTAAGATATTAAAAAAAATGATAACTCCCTATAATTTTATTATTAAAATGACAAATCAACCGATTAAACAAAAGAAAATGATAATCTAAGAAAATGATAAGTCAACAGATATGCACGGAGCATTAATTAATAAGTTTGCATCCAATAGAGAGGGAGAGTAGGTGGAGGGCGCGTGGGTTGGTCCATTACTGGAATTTTCTGGCTTGGGTTCCTTGTGTCTTCCATGAATTTGCGATGTAGCTGTTCCCTTTTACATTCTATAAGGCAATCACCCTCCCTCTCTCTCCATTTTGCCTGCTGGGAAAACATGTCTTGGACCACAAAGAAAGCAATCCAAGAACTTGTCCGAGGCAGGGAGTTGACGAATCAGGTACGAGATCTACTCACTTACTCACTACCCCATGAGTCGGGGTTAGTTGAGAGTGAAGATCTAGTAATCAAAATCCGCAACACTTTCGCTAATACTCTCTCCATTTTAAGAAAATCTAACACAGCCGATTACTACAATGATGGGAACAACGATGGCCGGAAATCCGAGGGTTCGGGCGAGAGCATTAAGACTAGTCCCTCTACTCTCAAAGTCAAGGATCGAAGACGGTCTTACAAGAGAAGGTATTCTTTTCTTCCACTGGAGTGGACTATTCCTTTTTTTTTTTGTGGGATTTATTAATTACTTAAAAGGATAAGTAAATATACTTGAGTTCACCTTTATCTGAGTTATTTACTGGGGGAAAAGCTTGATGAAATTGGTAATATGCTAATATCATAGCAAGTGTGTGGAGTCAAGGACAGACATCAGCTCAGCACTGGTTGATGATGGGTATGCATGGAGGAAATATGGGCAGAAGCAAATCCTGAATGCCAATCGTCCAAGGTGCATTGCATTATGGCTTGTCAAAACACCCAACGCCTTTCTCTTTATCATACTAAAAAAGGACTATATATATATATATATTTGCAGAAGCTACTACAGATGCACCCACAAGAAAGAGCAGGGCTGCCAAGCAACCAAGCAAGTCCAGAAGATTGAAGACGATCCCCCAAAGTATGAAACCATCTATCTAGGCCACCACACTTGCAAAGACACGCTCAACCCTTGTCATCTCATCATGGACCATTCTGACTCATCCCTACTCATAAGCTTTGCAAACCATCAAGACCGCCCTTTTTTCTCATCGGTAAAGCAGGAAACCAAAGGGGATTATCTTTTGTCAATGAGTGAAATCACCTACAACAATGACTCCTCATCGTCCCATTCTCATCATCCAAGTACGTTCGATCCATCGGCTGAAATGAGTGTGTTGTCAGCTGACCACGATGTTATCTCTGGGATGGTGGATTCTGTACTAGATTTAGATGAGCTGCTTGAGTTTTGATGGGATGGGTTACTTTGTTATAATCTTAGTCAGCTAATCTTAATGTAGAAATATGATGTTTTCGCTTCTTTTCTTATTATAATAAGAATGGGCCTCCAAAATGCTAACAGCTCTTTCCTCTTACTCACATACATACATACATACATACATACATACATACATACATACATACATACATACATACATACATACATACATACATACATACATACATACATACATACATACATACATACATACATACATACATACATACATACATACATACATACATACATACATACATACATACATACATACATACATACATACATACATACATACATACATACATACATACATACATACATACATACATACATACATACATACATACATACATACATACATACATACATACATACATACATACATACATACATACATACATACATACATACATACATACATACATACATACATACATACATACATACATACATACATACACATACATACATACATACATACATACATACATACATACATACATACATACATACATACACATACATACATACATACATACATACATACATACATACATACATACATACATACATACATACATACATACATACATACATACATACATACATACATACATACATACATACATACATACATACATACATACATACATACATACATACATACATACATACATACATACATACATACATACATACATACATACATACATACATACATACATACATACATACATACATACATACATACATACATACATACATACATACATACATACATACATACATACATACATACATACATACATACATACATACATACATACATACATACATACATACATACATACATACATACATACATACATACATACATACATACATACATACATACATACATACATACATACATACATACATACATACATACATATACATACATACATACATACATACATACATACATACATACATACATACATACATACATACATACATACATACATACATACATACATACATACATACATACATACATACATACATACATACATACATACATACATACATACATACATACATACATACATACATACATAAAAAGTTTTATAGGTTGGAACATATGCATTTTGATCTTTTACCCATAAAATTTTGGGCGACTTGCATCAAGGAAATTGGATGTGGAAACGTGCAGTAGTGTGATTGGAAGGAGATGAAACATGAATGAACATGATCTCAGACAACATCATCAAAGTTATTTACTGTATCCTTTTAGTGAAAAACAAAATCTTTGTGGATGACAAATAATATTTAGGAGAAAGTGACATCTTAGTTTGTATGGTAAAGACTATAAACAGTCACACTTCACAATAATTTCCCACTAAATACAGCATAGAATGACAGTGACATGGCACATAGGCATGGAGGAGTAGATGCCCTTTCTATTCATTTCACTTTATATAACTCTAGTAAATCTCATAATAAATTTATACAATATACAATTTGATCAATAAATCGAATAATGGTGAATATGTTAAAATATATATATACTTTTTATGTAGGAGGAACTTAAAAAGAAGCATGGGAGGGAGGTGATTAGCATTAGGTTAGAGAAAAAGAGAATGGAAACTGGAAAGTAAAGTCATCCGCATCCGCAGCACAGGATTAAAGTAGATGGCAGCCATCATCCATGGCGTGTTGGTTAATGCAAAGAGCAAAGGAAAAATCTAAAGATGGAAATATATTATAACTTTGTTTATGGAAATGACAAAAGCAGTTTGATGGAAGTGAAAGAAGCTTAATTAGGTGTGTGAACATGGCAAAAAAGTCATATTCAATCCTTTGTTTTTCTCTCTTTCACACTTTAGAATGTGCTCTTTGAATTCAAACCCAAATCCGAGCAGCTGCTAGGATTCCACTACCCGTTTTCTTCATTTAACATTGACAATTTCTATGGTGCTTCTACTACACTTGCTGATTTCTAACCCTATGCTATACCTTCTGCAGCTCAAATGCTTTGTTCGTGCGCCTCATTGAACATCAATCCGACAACCGATATGTCCTTTTATGGGTTTGCCAAACCATTGACTATGGAGATGGTATCACCTTCAACAATCCCAAAGTCCCAACCATTCTCGATAGCCATACGAATGTCCACCCCCCCCCCCCGGGTGAATCCAATAGCTTCAACCGATTCTGCTATGTGAGGACCGACCAACTTCCATGCAACCGCACAAATCACTAAACCGTGGTGGTCTCTTGCAAACACTCCTATTGCGGCTTCCCCGATATTGGAAAGAAAAGCCCCACCGACATCAACGTGAATTTTAAAGGAACATGTCCATAATTTTTTCCATTGTTCAGAAGGTCCCGTTCTAGACTTGTTGATATTGGGAGCAAAGTGGTGTACCTCCTTGAATTGGGTTCCAGTAATCCATGCCATGTTTACCACATCTCTAGCCTCTTGGAGCTCCTTGTCATGCACCCATTTATTTCTCCTATTCCATACGGGTGAGCAGTTTTGAGAGACCTTCTCGGTCAAGAATAGTGCCATAACTTCCAGCCATGATTTACAGGTGCTAGTTTGCATCTCTACATGTCCACGGTTTAGCCCCGAAACTTGTTGAATTTGGTGTTTGGAGGCCCAAATAAATGTTTAAACTTTTTGATGTTAAAAATTGAATTATGGATAAGTTATTCCATTTAACCGAGGTCTCAAGCTTCCTCCTTCCTGGCAACACCATTATAGTGTGTTCAAGAAATTAAGCGTAAATTAGAAAGAAAAAAATAATAAGAAAGATGAAATCCTTAAGCATGTCATTAGAACAATGAACTTAATATATTAACCGCTAAATTATTTATGTGAAACCGAGATTTTATTCACTTTTATGTAGCATATTCAAATTGCAAATGGACCTATGGGAAGAACAAAATAATTTCATAATCATCAAGCACACCATAAAATTCTTTAAACTAAAGCACATTCATCATTCGGATATCCTAATGGATTCACAACTCAAAACGAACAAACTTTAAGTCACATGAAAACCTTAAAATGCTGCAACCCCACATTCTTCAACAACATCAAGAGATTGTACTTTCATTCTTTGGCTATCGATTCTACTTTCTTCAATGCCAAGAATAATGCGGTATTGATATGTTTTTTCTTCCCTGGGCCAGCTGAAGATTAAAACCTCTCAGAAAAGGTAAAAGAGAACTCGATAATTTAAGCACTGGAATCAGAAATGGAAGTACACTTCCTAAGAAATAATCACCATCTATTCAGAGAAACAGAGGATGGGTGCATGGGGGAGGGGATGCCTCACAGAGGGTAGTTTTCCCAAAATGGACTTATGTTGTCATGTAAACACAATGAAGAAACAAATATATATGAATAGGCGCATATTGGTTCTCTCTCATTGCTCAAATCCAACACTATATGTGACAGATTCAAACTTTTATAATAGAAGATATGAGGTAATCAATCAAAGTTTCCCACAATGAACAGGGCAGTGTCCATAGATGGTGATAGTACACGTACACATTTTGAAGGGGAAAAAACAGAGCAGAACATGCAAGTCAAAATAAACTAACCCCAGAAGAGTGCATCAATTTTCAGTCCCAGGTTCCAAGTGTGGCTTATCCTTCGATAGAAGCTTATAGATATAAAATGCCACCACCGCACCACTGCATATGAAAGCACGTCGCCAGACAACTTTTATTTACAGCGATTAAAATGCCTTTACAAACTAAAGCTATAATGTATCTCACACGACTATGTGCTAATGAACATTAAGATATGTAGCAAAGCTAATCATGTTTTAGAAAACCAAAGGGTTGTAAAACTTATCATCATCGTCATTACACCCTTAGCCATAGAGAAGGTAGAAGAATCACCCTCTAATTTCCAAGTATGAACAACCAAAATTTTAAAATTTGGAAAGAATTATATGTACCTGATTAAGGTTGTGAGAAAGGTAACCAGATTTGGTCTCTGCACAAAAGAATAAAAACAAAGGCAAACATTAATGATAAAGAATATAGTTTGACAATATGGTAAAAACAAGGTTATATGCACATAGACAGAAGCCCCACCCGAAACAGCAAGATGAACTCCCTCAAGAATAAAACAGACGAGATCACTGCAGAAAACATAACCCCATTAATGCAACATAAATGACAGTACCCTTATATTATTCAAGGATGTAAAAAGTCTAGTAAATTAAAATAATGTAGCAACCTGCTTGTCCTTTGGTAGCAAGAGGAGAAGACTTCCCTCTTTTGTATGATTTTAAGCTTAATACACTTAATGCCAAAAGAGCTCCACCTAGAATAATACCAAACCTAATGGCAGCGATGCTCCCCATCACCATGAAAGAAAGGAATCCCCCAACTGAAAGAAAAAAGCCTGCCAAACCCACAAACACAAAAGAGATTTAAATGGTTGAATTAATAGAACATAAATCATTTTCAAATACATTTGAAAAGTTTCAATGCAAATAGCATACCATAAGGTATCCCTACGTGAAAGTCAAGAACTTTGGAAACGTCTTTGAAATCGTCAGTGGAGGAAGAGAATGTTTCGATGATTTCTTTAACTTCGGGAGGGGAATTCTCAGCTGCCGTTGAGAGGTATTCTTTGCCTTCTTCACCCATTTCTTTGGCTATTTCAGTCAAATTATTTCTGGCCTTTTCAGTTTGAATCTTTAGCTGTTCTGAATTTTCTTTGAGAGTAATCAAAGCTTTCTTGGAGTGAATTTCGTAAGCTTCCATGGATACGCTTTGCATCTTCAAAGCTTGTTCTTTGAACGCCTCTAAAGCTTGTCTCCATGCTTCATTTGATTCTTCTTCGCTCCCCACTTCTTCCTTTTCCTTCTCTACTTCTAATTCTGAATGCTTCTAAACCCAGACATAAATAAATAAAATTAGAGAGAAAGAACAAAACGTCTTAATACGATTATCAACAATCACAAAGTAAAAAAGAAATGATAAACTGCGAGTTCAAAAAGAAGAGAAATGATTTATTTGAATTAGAACTCACTGGTTCCTCGTGGGAAGCTGCGAAAGCGATGATGGATTGATTGAAGGGAAGGCGTCTATGGAATGAAGGAAAAGCGAGGGCAAATCTTTTGGGAGCGGTGAGAGATACTGTGTTAGAAGGTGGTCTGAGCTTTAAGGAAGGCGGCAAACAGAGTGCCATTGGAGAAGCAGAAGCACGAGTGCTGCGTCTCTTTAATGGCTCCAAGGCGGAGCTAGAATTAGGAGTTTTGATGGACAACATTTCCCAGTATTACCAATTTTTGTTCTTACCTTTTTTTTAACAGTAAACCAACGCTTTTTGATTAAATTCTGAGGAATGGGCGAAATGCGCGAGAAATAATTTTCCTAGGGTTCTGTAATTGAAGTTGGTAGGAAAATCAAACGGTCTACCGAAACGACGCCGCTTGTCAAACACGTTGCATCAACGTGCTCTTTGCCTAGGAAATGGGGAGTAGGGAACGTTTTGGCTTTAGTAGATTTTGTTACGTGCAAATTATATTAATAGTACTCTTTATTTTTATTTTTAATTTGATCGAATTTGATTATTAATTTAAAAATTAAATGTATTAAATTTCTTATATTATTAGTATGTAGTTTGTTCCGTTTAAATTTTTTGATCTTTAATTTCTATTAATCTATTAATAAAAGTATGAGTTAATAATTAAAAAAATACATGTGTCACTTCTTCTAATTTTGGTCCGTCCATCTTACAATTTACAAGCCGACTCGACTTCACCTGACAATGATAGATTTGTTCACAAATTAATTGATTTTTCATGCGACCAGTCACTCACAATGAAAGATTGAGAAAGACAAAAATGAAATGAAAGTTGATTCATAAACAAAACATGGAATATGGAATATATACCATCGTGTACAGCAATTGGTATCATCAGTACAGTAATTGGAATATAAACAAAAAAATAAATTGTGAGATTGGAATATGGAAGAGAGACAAAAGACAAAGCCTATAAAATAAGATGAGAAACGTGTTCAAGTTATGAACAAACGAAATATATACCATCGCCCATGGTGAAGAGGCCACATGATGACCACTTCATTGGATCCTTTTGAGGATTTGGGTATGACCATGATGACGGACTGTTATCATCAGTACAGCAAGGGTCCCTAACATCACCCAACTGAGAAAAACCCACCTTCCTTTTATCTCCCTTTTTAGTCACTTATATCGGAGAAAATAGAAACAAACACTTAAATGAACTTGCCTGTTTTATATTTCAAAATATATTTTCAACTTAAGAAAATTTGATGGAAATCAACACGATTTTCAAAATATATTTTCAACAAGTACCAAAGTCTCTTAGTTTTCTTTTTTCGGTAGTTATAAACGGTTGTACGAATCAATAAGCTATTTAAGTGGTTAAAGTGATGGTTATTATTTCTAGAAGTTTCAAATTTGAGCATCAGAGACTGTCTGACTAACACGATCAATTCAACTGCCAATCAAATGCCTTACTTATTCCTCAACTATACTCTAGTCACGCACATCAGCAACTCGCAACGCATGGTTCGATTGATGGGTTGTCTTGTTGACTCCAAAACGTGTATAACTATCTATTGATGCATCAATAAGTGATAGATCCACTTTCATTGATATTTTATTCAATTAAATTGTTTTTTACTGAAAATCAATTCAAAATATAATAATTTGTCACTAAATTACTTAGACATGACCACCTAACATGTTGTACCATCTTTCTCAGTTGTAATATACATTTCATATTCCTAATTCATGTGGAAGTACTTGTGGGCTTTGAATGCCCGGCCCGGCCCGCTGGCACGGGAAATGAACCACGTCACCCGAACGTAATAATAGAGTCAGCGCAACAATCATTTCCTACGTGGCGGCCACCCAAGCCTAATCCTTTCTCATGATTTTACTCGAAAGCGAAGGCATCTCCTGCAACATGCGCACTCAGGCCTCAGCTCAACCCAACCAATAATTTCTTTTGTTCTCGACGAGTATTTAAGGGTATATTACAAATTTAATCATTTAGCTTTCTTATTACTCCTATTTTACTCATTGTACTTTAGAAAATTTCAATTTAACCACTCAATTTTAAACATTAAACTATTTTAGTCACCCTACCGTTTTCTCCCTAACCCTTTGATGACATGACATTTTTTATTCATTTTTAAACCTATTAATATTATTTTATATTGTTTTCGTTCTTCCCCACCTAGTGATCTTTTAGTTTTTATTTAGTGAAACTCCTTCCTCAAACCATCTGCAACTATGGGGAAGCTTACAAGGGTTTGCTACGTAGGTACGAGGGGTCATTAGCTTTGGATGGAGTAATGACATCACCCTTCTGTAAATTTCTTAGAATATTATAGAAGCAACTTTGGTTCAAATTTTTTACATTCGGATTTTACGTGTCCTTAGCTTCTCTTTCTTTCCAATGGCTTTCACAAAGGGTGGTGAAAACAAGTTTGAAATTAACTTGTCCACTACCTTAAACATGCTTGTATTGTATTGTATTGTATTGTATTGTGTCTAAGTCTTTTAGTAGTTTGTTTGATAATTGTTTCCTTCATCCTCAGGCCTAAAAATAGAAAAATGATCACAACCCAAAGTTGTGATAATTCATTACTGATGGACAAAATGAAATTATAAACTCATATAATTTTGTAACCATCCTTCAAAAGGAAAGGGAAAGTGGAAGAAAGATGACTAGAAAACATACAAAAATAAAGGTTTTAATTGATGGAAAAGAGAGATTGATTAATGTCTAGAATCCATACATTGATTCCAGCAACAGCAGAAGCAACTCCTTCTCCTTCCTTTTGTCACTCTTATATATGTATAAATCAGAAGACGTGTTTCTCGATATTTTTAGAGAGTGAAAAGAGATTCTAAAACTGGTTTCTTGTTCCTTTTGGTTCTTGTAGAAAGTTATGGTGTTTTTACAACTTCCTTTTGGTTCATGTTGATTGGTTTTTTCTTAGAGCTTTTTGACCGTTCTTGGACAATGGATTTTTTCACAGCTTCGTAAAGTGGTCGTGAAGTTAAAGGTTCTTGGTAAGAAATGAGTTAAAAGTGCATGTGTTCCATCGTATAGAGTTGCCGACGACACCACGTCTCCGTTGCTGCTACAGAGTTGCAAAAGCACTGATGATATAGTAGCCATACCTGGCTAGTTAACAGTGTCGTTATCCTCACTGATGATGCCTCGAACGTCAGTGTTGAAAACATAGATTTGTCGGCCAAGAAAATATCCTCCCATGCCGCTATTCTTCCATGAGAAAAAACCATTCATCTGGTTCCTGCCATAATTAGGAGTGCTAAAAAAGATTAATTAATGACTCAAATCACAAAAGCGAAATGATGAGTTGTTCGGTGGAGAAAGAACCATGCTGATATGGTGGGGTTGTACGATGGAGAAAGAGAGAAAGTGGATGGCCATGTTATAACGTCGTTACAAAGCTAACAGTAGAGTGATAAAAAAATTAATGTACAAAACTGAATGATTAAATTGAAACATTTTAAAGTATAGTGAATAAAATAAGAGTGAGAATAAAGTTCAGTAACTAATTTTGTAGTTTATCTAATATTCAATTATATATAGAACTATTTAATAAAGGATAAACAGCAAAAGTTTACCACTCGCTTTTGACTATATTTCCGTTTTTGTCACCAAACCCTAACAATTTCTAACTTGATCGCTTAACTTTAGCATTGCTTTGTTTTTGTCACTCTATTGTTGGTTATTTAATTTCATTATGAAATACATCTATCTTTCAAAAATTATGAAAGGTCTCCTAAACATTATTTTAAATTTATGAAAATATTTGTAACATCCTCAATACCGGGTTAGTGACCAAATTGTAAAGTTTTAGAATTTGGTGACTAAAGTATAAGAATGAAATAGTTCAATGATTATTGAATATATATGATGAAGGTTATTTTGTAATTATTAAAAGAAGCTAAGGGTTAAATGGTCATTTGATCAGAAAGATTTTTATCTTTCTTTTAAAAGGTAATATAAACGTGGGAAATGAGAAACATCCAGAGTTCTCTTCTCCTTTCTTCTTCTTCATACGTGGGAGAGCCAAGCTAAAGGTGAGTTTTCTTGTGGATCAAATTCTTGATGAATTTAAGGTTGCTTATTGATCCTTAGATAATAACTAAGCTTAAGGAAAGCTTAGATTATCTTAAAACTATAAGATGAGGAGTAGATGAAGAATTAAAGAAAGGAAGTAGAAAAGTGAAATATTGAAGTAGAGTTCATTTCTTAAATTGGAAGTTAAATTTGACTTGTCAATGGTTAAATTAAGAGATTTGGAGTAATAGAATTGGATTTAGAACATATAGAAAATTTGGTATGATTCTTGAATCTCATAAAGAAGATAGGATTTTGAGGTTAAAGATGATTTACATGGATATAAGTTGGTTCAAGTAATGGTAATTCAGTTTAATGTCAAAATAGGGGCTTAGAATAGAAGAATTAAGGGAAGAGTTGATGATTTACGTGCTAAAATGTCAGTTTTGGGCAATGTGCATCGATGCACATTCATTGTGCATCGATGATAAATACCATAAATTGTTTAAGGTGCATCGATGCACATGCAGTGCATCGATGCATGAATTTAAATAGAAAACATCGAATAGGATTTATGCATCGATGCATAAGGAGTGCATCGATGCATCCCCATTAAATACAAACATCGAATAGGATTTATGCATCGATGCATGGTGTAGTGCATCGATGCATACCTTCATTAAAAGATGAAATTGGCTTTTCTTTGAGACTAAGGAGTGATAGTTTCGAATATATCAATCAGTATACTGATAAGTATTAATGTATTATTATGTAGATATAGAATGAAAGCTTGTTCCGGAACAAACTAAGGATTAGGATTGATTCAAACAACGAGGCCCAGGTGAGTGCATATTCAATAGTATATGATGTGCGATGGGAATAAGACTTGCGATGAGTCTATTTCCTGAAGTGTTACACATGAATGCATGATTAAGGGCATGAATTGAATATGCATGTATGTATGCTTGATTATATGGATTGATCTGTTCTTTTATGTGTTAGGTGAGAAAGTATAAGTGATTACATAAGAAAGGTTATGAATTATATGAGATATAAACTATGTGATCATAGTAAAATATAATTATATTATTATATGATAAGTGAAATAAGCTAGATAATATTGATCTATAGGATGATGTGAGAACAGTACACTAACTAGGAGATTTGAACATAAATGATAATATGAACATATAAGATAAGCTAGATGGGAAAGATTCATATGTTTAAATAAAACTATAACACATGGGTTGTATGATAGAAATTTATGAAGCT